AGAATTTATCGCATTTTCGTGGATGCGACAAATGTTGATGGAAAATTATTTTGAAATTTAAATGCGGCTGTTTCTTTTGTGTTAAACATCGTCGGAGAACTTTTTTGTGCTTTTGAGAGGGACGAACTTATTACTATCACACGTTAACTTTTTTCCCCGAAGTTGCAAGTTTTGTGTATTTGTTTGAGAAAGATCTATTTTCAGGTGCCTTGGTTGGCCTCGTACTGTCCTACAGTAAAAGCGATTGGACGCAGGTTGAAACATTCAGTCCGAACATCTTTTTTCTTGTTCTTCTTCCTCCGATCATTTTTGAAAGTGGCTATAACTTGCATAAGGTAGGTCGGCTGCTAAAAAATTTATTAATTTTCAGAATTTTTCCACCGCAAAAGAGAGCACTGTTGGAGGAGTTTGGTCGAACTTGATTGAATTTGAGGATATGTTTTTCAGGGTGACTTCTTCGCCAACATGTTCCCAATATTGTCATTCGCAATAATCGGTACGGTGATATCGGCTCTAACTATCGGCTCAGCGCTGTACATTCTCGGGCAAGTTCGGGCTTCAGCTATGCTTATAAAAACAGAATTCTTGTAAAACTTAGCATGAATTTTTGGCCTTTTGATTTTACCCTATCATATGTTTGAAGTTAACCCATTGAATTAAGTTGCTAATTATAGTTATTTGTAGACAGAAATTTAGAGTGCTAAAAATCTTCTCCGTCGAAGACTGGTTTGGATGTTCGCAGTGATAATAATGGCCGATCATGGTGCCGGTTATTTAAATTCACCCATACGCTGTTCGGGAGGCGATAAACCATCCAATTTTGTATCTTTCTGTACCGACATTTACTAATGCACAGTGATAAATAGTGGCATGGTCCGTAAATGAGAGCCTGTTTATCGCGTTCGTTTCAAAATGACGGCTGCTATCTGCCGGCTAATGTTTTAGTAGTGGAGAAAAGTGATAAATGGTAATGGTAGGAATAATTATAATAGTGAAATTCGTCGGTCTGTCTTATTTTCCGAAAAAACCGCAGTTTTCTTCAACTCCATCCCTCTCTAGCTGCTTCAGTGATATTGTGGGTGTACAGAATGTTTGCACCAATATTGCTTGTCCACGAAAAAGCAAATTTGGCCAAAAATTTTTTCATCGCAACTTACTTTACAATTCCTTCTATAAATTAGTTCAACATGTCTAGTTGCTAAAAGCCGTGTGGAAGGGAACGTGTCTGTAAAAAGTGTATCCTCCACCAGCTTCTGCTATTCGCTGCTATTATTTAGGCAGATCTCATATACAAAATTACGGCGGCGGAGAGTTTCACATTTGGTTCGATGATTTCTGCTGTGGATCCCGTTGCCACGCTTGCTATATTTCAAGCATTAAATGTTCGTTCTCATTAAATTGGTTCCGATGTCTGTGTTTATTGATGAGGATTATTTAGCCGAATGTTAATATTTGTTCCAAATACGGGGTACGATTTCCTGAATACCTCCGTTGATTGTGAGCACGTGTTATCACATCCACAATGAGGGAAGAAGAAACTGTGCATGAGTTAGCACAAGTGGCGGAGGGGATGAAGTGTATCAGGCATCCCGCTTGCGAAGCGAGAAGGGAAGAAACGAACACCAACTAGTCTTCAGTAGGCAGAGGGACAGCGGTCTAGAAAAGGTTGCCAATAGCATGGATGATGCGAAATTATGCTACAGAAACATTCCTATTAATCAGAGTTAGTATTATCAGGAGGGTTCGGTGATAATTCTCAGTGGCCGTGGAAATTGTTCGGGTTTGAGATACTCTAGGAATTCTTTACAATGCGACGTGTTGCTGTTATTCAGGTGGAGCGGATGCTGTACATGCTTGTGTTTGGGGAATCGATGCTTAACGATGCAGTGGCGATCGTACTGACCTCCACCGCGGTCGAAATGTCGCAGCAGAGTACCTTGGATTCATCTTCGGATAACATGCTATTCCCAGCACTTTCTCGCTTTACTTTTGTTTTCCTTGTTTCCGCTGTACTGGGTGCCTTTGTTGGATTCCTTTCTGCGCTGGTAAACTGTTGCAGTTTTTGCTAGGGAAAAACACATTATTGCAATCATTTTATATAACATCTTTTTGGAAGCAAAAAAAAAGAAAAAAGACGGAAAAGAGGGCGACAAAAGATTTTATTTCTAATATTTCAAAAAAAAGAAGGAATTTGAAGTTCTATGGCACAGAAACTAAAATTTTTCATTGTGGCAACATTTCAGCTATTTAAACACGTCGATTTGCGGAAGACGCCAGCTTTGGAGCTTGCATTATTACTCATATTTGCATATTTGCCCTATGGACTCGCTGAGGCCATCTCGCTTTCCGGTTCTTTTTCGACCGTTTTTCACACCATTCCTTGTCATTTTCGTTCCCAGTGTTGCATGGCTTAATCATTCTCAATCAGTTTTAGGTATAATGGCAATTTTGTTCTGCTCAATAACGATGTCTCAGTATACACATTTCAACATTTCACCAATCACTCAAATCACTATGCAACAAACGTTCAGAACAATTGCATTTGTAGCAGGTAAAACACATGCCTCCTTTTGCTCTTTCATTTTTCTAGCTTTATATTATAGAAAGTTTTCGAAGCAGACTAAAAACTCAGACTAAAAGGTAAACCCAGGCTGGAGCGCACCGGACGGGCTCGTCCGATCATGCGTTTTTGCGCCGGACTTTAATTACTCAGATCATTAACTGTATGAATGGTTAACTGTGTGAATAGTTTAACTGTTTTATATGCAGTTGCATCCTGTGATTTATACATTATATATCATTTTGGTGAAGATAATTTTAAATGGGCGGTTTTTAAATACAAATAAAACACGATGGACTATTTTTCGGGGTTCTCTTAGCAACCTTGGTGATTTTCAGAGACGTGTACATTCGCTTATCTGGGCCTCGCTTTGTTCACATTCAAACTTGAATTCCGTCCTATGTTCATACTATGGAGTATCGTAAGTTTTTCATTTCCCCTAACGAACTCACTTTTAGACAGAATCTTCTTAATACTGCACTGGTTAAATAAAGTTTTCAGCTTAGCGTTTCGCTAACTCAGTT